CATCTGTAAACCTAAAAATGTACAGCCAATTTTGAAAGAGATGTACCCTAGCTCAGAAAAATGTTATTGAATAGGTTAAAGCTGTTGTAATGAAATGCTTCTTCTAATTAAAAAGAAAAAAAAAGATTAAAAAAAATCATGTGCGTTGTATTAATTCAAAGGAATACTTTTACTAGCTATTTAAATCTTTAACCACTGCAATACCATACTTTTATTAGCCACTAGTAGAAAATAAATGAAATTTTAAACATATTGACACATGTGTAAACCAAAGTACCCTATACTTTAAGACTAAAAACATATTATTTTTTACCAAAAAGATTAATTGCAAGAAAATATTTCATCAGAGATTTTCAATGGATAAATGGAGCTCATATTCAAGAGAAAAGAACAATTCATCCCAATCAATTTTACAGTATTATAGATTCATGTATATATTTTCCTATGCCACCTATGATCCAGGCTGTACTATTCTGTGTTGAATAAATATTAGCTCAAATAGGGATTAAATATATCATACTTCAGAATGATTTAAAATATAACACCAGAATAAAACCTCAACTTCCTGTTTTATATACTACCACTCTGGCAAGCTAGCTATCTAATCATTTTGAATTCCCTTAAATATCATTCTTACCTGGAAATTACACTGAAAGACACAACAGTCAACACTTTTATAGTGTCCCTTAAGTATAGTTATCTGTTCTCCTGAGTATACTGTATACACAGCAATGACGCTACCATGTGGTACAAAAACAAATTCTGAGCTGCAGCCACAGGACACAGTGAATTTCAGTCCTTTTCTACTATCATTGCAAACTCTTCCATAATTTACCTGCAGAATAAAAACCATAAAGTTACTCATTTTTAAAGCCTGAGTTAAAGAAGACAACAAAGACTGAAATACTTCCTTTAATTATTGTAACATTCTATAGAAATGGCTTTTAAAGAAAATATTTAATATCTTAATAAAAAGAAGGGCCAATGATTTGAATATACATTTCACGTAAGAAGAAATAGAATTAATGGGGAAAAAAAACCCCACAAAGGTAAATGTTCAGATTTTGTCCTTGACAGAAGATGCAAATTAAGGCAAACTTGAAGAATCATTCTAAATCATTCTAAAATTTTTTTGGTACCTGGGGATCAAACTTAGGATTTCATGTGTGCTAGGCAAGCACTCTACCACTTGGCTACATACTTAGCCTTTGGTTTGGTAAAATTTTTAAGAAACAGAAGACCCTTAATACTGTTACAAGTAAGGCAAACATGTTGGTGGCATTAGAATTTGGTTATTCTTTCAAAAGGAACAAATGGTTTATTACAAAACAAAATAGATACTTCTTTGGGGGTGGGGTGGGGTTATAACATCATCCTCTTTCCATTAAAACTTAGTAAATAACACAAAACTGATCATCGTAACCACTTTTAAAGTGGCATTAAGTTTGTTCACATTGTTGTGCAGCCCCAGAACTCTATTCATTTTCCCAAACTAAACTCACTAAACAATAAAGATATTCTTACCAATTGACCTAGTAATTGCTCCTGGGAATTTATCTTAAGGAAATAATTAATCAGCAGAGAGTACAAAATATGCCCAGAGAAACACAATGCAGCATAAAGCAAAATGGCCAAGTTACTAAGATGGATGTAATACTCACAGCAACTGAATTTTATACAAATCACATGTATAAAAGCTGTGCAGTAAAGATGGGTGGAGGCTAAGGATAGAAAAACACAGAATACAAATGGCATGTATACTGTCATTTTAGCTTTACATAAATAATGATGCATTTTGGACAAAAATTTAAATTCTGCACTTGTATACAAAAGGCATACTCCAGGAACTCAGGGACATGAACACCTGGGAATCAGATATACAGACTACCTGGCTGCATCCCACTTACCAAAGAGAATTTTCATTTTCAAAAAAATCCCCTGGCAATATGTACGTTTAGTAAAGGGTTGAGTCCCTCTGGGCTAAGGAAGTCGACAAGTTTACATTCTGCTGATAATTAAAACCACCAGCTAATAATTTGAGAATTACGAGCATGCATATCACCACAACCTCTTTTTACTATAACTACTATTAAAAGTTTCAATTCTGTTTTATCTCTCTTTCTTTAAAGGTTGGATAGAAGTGTGTGTGTACACATAAATAAAAAAGGCGGGATCCAAATGGGTACCTGCTGATAAGGTGTGCAGAGTACACCTGGCTTACCTGCCCTTTGTGCAAACCTCTAATGGAAATGAGTGTAGGCCTTAGCCGCCCCATGGCAGCAGTGCCTTAGGTACATTATACTCAGCACTCTTGAGTTTTGAAATCTGTTAGAGGAGCCATGCAGATTTAGCCTTTGAGTTTGGCTTCTAATCTACAAAATGGAAATGACAACATTTTCCACAGTTACTGTGAAAAAACTAATGAACATGAGAGCAACTGGGACATGAAACTGGCCAGTTAGATCCTAGATTTATCACTTCCCACATGTTTAAAAGAACAACATTCTTTCATTCCCCTGCGCTACCACTGCATGTACAACTACCTGCAGAACATGGAGAGGGGTAGCTCAGGAAGCTAGAAAAGATCCTAAGACAGAGAGGGGAAGGGGTTTAAAGGGTAAGGGGATAGTAGAACACATGTGATATGAGTGGGTATGGGGACAGGGGGAGAGAGAGAGGACGGGGTTGTGGCTGGGTTATATAAAACCAAGGAGGTATTAAAAAACCCTTATGGAAACCTATGACTTTGTGAGAGAATTCAAAAATAGATAAAACTTTTTAAAGAGGGAATTTGAACACAGGTACCCTGCATGGGTGGACAATGTTTCCCCCAGAAGACATGCTTTTGTGGGGAGGGGATTTTTCTTCCCAATTTCAATCCTGTTTTTCAAATAGAAATGTTTTCCTGTTTTTTTTTTTTTTAATGTTTGTCTTTTTAATTGAATGTTTGTGAATTCCATCCAATATATTGTGATCATATTTAGATCCCCTCCTGTATCTGCAACCCTCCCTAAGCCCCCACCAAACTTCCTGCACTCTATTATACTCACGCAAGCACCGAGGGTCAGGAAGGCTCTAGAGGCCCCTAAAACAGAACAAGGTATAGCCATCGCTCTTAGTTGCCAACCACAACTAGATGGTAAGACTCTACTGCTAAAGACATAACACACTGTGGTTGCAGCACATAGAAAAATCAAGCTGGACCTGACCTGTAGTTTCCTCTCTGTTGGCTAGCTTTCACAGTGCTTGGAAGGTGCAATGGCAGGCTGCTGGTGGAAAAGTCATCAATGGACTTACCCAGCAGTGGACCCTGCATGCTACAATATTAATCCGCCAGCTAAGATGTGCCCACTGCTACAACAGTGGCACGAAGGTTCTGGTGTTAGCCAACTGCTTTTGAAGTAGATGTGAGGCCTGCTCCACAGGAGGGAATTCATGCCTGGCATTGTAAACTTGGTCAAAAGTCCATGGCCCTGGAAGTCATAGGCCCTGGGGAGGGGAACAACTTACTACTATTGTTTTGCTAAATGAACATGTTGTCAAACTGCATTTATGTTTATACCCCTAGATTAGTACTGCCTATAGCCCTGTTCAGAGAAACTTCTTTTTGCAGTGGATGGCAGTTAATGCAGAGATTCATAATTGGTCAAAGTGCTGAGACTAAGGGATTGTTGAGTGCTAGGTCCTAAATGGGAAATCTATACCAACCCCTATAATGCTCAGGAAACATTGCAGAAGAGGGAAGCAGAAAGAATGTAAGAGCTGGAGAATGGGGAGGAGAGCTGGGAAATGCTGTCTTCTGGACATGGCTGTTCACTCATGAACTCACAGCAGCTGTGGTCACATGCACAAGATAAAGCCAACAAGATCACCAACATTCTATCAGGAAGCACTGACTGGACTCAGTGCGTCACAAGAATAAATAAGTATATAAAAGGAGAGGACATGAAGATGGGAGGGGATGTGTTGGAGGTGTCCAGGGACAGTGGCAGGGGGAAGTGGAGGTAGCAATAATCAAGATACATTGTATATATGTATGATATTATAAAAAAAATAATATGAAGAAAGATGGAATAAAGCCATAAAACCTCCTCAACTAATAATTCTCCATTCTCCCTGGGAAAACTAATATGAACTGCTAGATTATGATGGATTTACTTATATTTGTTTATCTGAACACTTACTACAAAGCTATAGTCTTCTATGCTCTTCCCACTATATCACTTTCTTATCCAAATGTGAAACCTGAATGTGTTAAATATGGCACTAACTTAATACTTATGTCTTTGTTTTTAGGTTTTCCTTCTATAATTAATTAATTATTTTTTTAATAATTTTGGGGAAGAGTGATGCTTTTTTGAGTCTTACTACATAGCCCGGCTGGTCTTGAACTTGCCATGTTCTTGTCTCTACCTCCCAAATGCTGGGATTAGAGGTGTGTGCCACCACCAGTAATCTCATTAAAAACCTGGCTCTCATTCTGCCATTTAATGTTATATTAATCTTTTTGAAGTCACTTCTATTATCAAATTACCTATAGACTAAAACTTTATCAGTATCTTTTCATTGCCTATGGAATGATGTTCAAATAACAGATTAAGGAAGAGAGGGACCTAACCATTTACTAAGTGCTTACAATGTGTCACATAATGTGTTAGTTGATTATTTAAAGGTCCCTATTTTATGAACACAACTGCTTAATATAAAAAGCAGTGTGTGCTGTATGACACATTATAAACTATTATGAAAGTACTGGAGAATAAATACTTTTGCTATGCTGTCTTAAATGTGATACTTAAGGCAAGTTTCCAAAATATGGGTAGGAAGAAGTCTATAGACTTAGGAGAGGGTAATGGCAAACCAGTTCTGTATCTTCCATCAGTTTCTTTCTGATGCTCCTATGCTTGTAGAAACCTATAGTGATTCTATCACAAGGCAGCTTATTTTATTGTCAAACAATTATAGCATACTACCAGCTTCAGAAAATGTTTATTGAATGTAAACACTTGCTGTTCAAGATAATGTACAGAGCATTTCACTTATTATTTCATAGAATATGGTGTTTCCTCAAACCAATGTGATAGATAGGCAGCATTATTATATATAAGGTGAATACAAGGAAAGAATACGTAATTTGATCAATGTATCTTGGCTTGTAAATGATGGAATCAGATACTAAATCTAAACTACATCAACCAAACCACTGTGCCATATTATTATATATGATCTTTCTTTCACTGCATGAAGTAATGATCACAGTACACTAATAGATAAGTAAAACACAGGATATTCTGGAAGCATCCACACTAGACTAGTACAGTCAAAGACTTGAGCCTGAGATGAACCTTGAAAGCTGAGAAGCAGCAAGACCAAAAGGAGAAGGCTATTCTCAAGTGAAGGCAGCAGTCTATGCAGCAGAAAGGAAGAGCATAGGAGCATGGTAGATGCAAATACCTCTAAGGAGTTCAGGAGACTAAAGATGGGGAAAATGGAAAAGTGACAGAACGTATAGCTGGCGAGCTAGAAGGTACAGCTTATGACAGTCTTGTACCCAACTGGAGAAGGCATTTAGTTTGAACAATAGGAAAACATGGAGGAATCACTCAAAGACTTCCACTGAGAGATGAAGTTAGGAATGGTTAGAACATTAAGAGTAATTAAATAGAGATGAGCCAAGCAATGAGGCTTAAAGACAGCTAGGAAAAAGAAACCAACAGCACTTGTGGTTGGCTTAATAGTGTTGTCAATGAGCAAAGGACCGAGTTCCACTTTCCTGACATAGCAATCACAAGATGACTGGTGATGCCAATAACTGAAACAGTGAACATACCTACTTTGAATTCATTTTTTCTTTTGCTGTGCCAAAAGCTGTCTCCCTGTGAATTTTCCCTGCAGGAAAGTACTCTGTACTCTAAGACATGGTCTCCAGAATTCAGTTTATAAACCTCAGGAGGTTTGCATCAAGATCCAATAAGATGTGAGAAGAAAATGTGAAAATTTGTTTCTATTCATTGCTATCTAAAAGATAAGAAATTAAGCTTTTACTAAACATAATATGTAGACTGAATATTTGTATATAATTATACATATGTTGGAAATGTGCATTTATGCATTTTTAGACAAATAGGCAAAAGGACACAAAGTTACTGCTTAGCTCTGCCTTCTGTTTATCAGTGGGCTCATTACTAATTTTTGTAGTACTACTTCTATTTTCACCTTGTAGTTTTTAGGCAGCCAATAGTCCTGATTTATTAAATGAAGACACTGAAACTGATCATACTCTTAAATAAATCACTTAACTCTATTAAAATTTCTAAATGACAGGAATGAAATTTGTTTCTTGATCTGACAAGCCCTTGACAAATTTGAAGATGGGGATTTTCCTTAAAATTTGCTTTTCTGGGATCAATGTTTCAAGTCCCTCTAAGTGTCCTTTGTGATGGAGTTTCTAAGTTACCTACTCATCTCTGCATGGATAACTTACTTTGATGAAGTCCATTTACAACCCTATTATCCATTCTAAACTCACTATTCTAGCTATGGACTCACTGGCAAATCCCATAAGGCACACAAAAAAATAGTGTTAGACACGTATCTATTCAGCATCATTTATATTTGTCACATTAAGTATACATGGTAGAACACATGCCAACTCCTCTCTTACTTCATCCAAATCAAATGTTACTTTCTCAGTGATGCCTACCCTGACTCCCTCCTTCCCCTCCCCTCCCTCTTCCTCTTCCTCCTCTTTCCCTGAGATAGAGTTGGTCTTACTATGTGGCTCAGGCTGGCTTTGACTCACTAGGCAGCCCAGGCTGAAACCCTCTTGCCTGTTCCTCCTGAGTGTAGAGATTCCAGATGTGCAACCCCATGCTGGGCTTGTTTTTACCATAACACTCATTCATCTACTAACTTCAAAAAAAAAAAAAATCTCCCTAGAATGGATGCTCTTTTTGAGGATAGGCCTTTCCTATGTTTTATCTACTTCTGTAAAATCCTGCCTAGTAAATAAGTACTCAATACATAATTATTTAAAAGAAACAAACAAAAGAAAACAAAACAACCTAAGAAAACAAAAAAAGGAACATGTGACCTCATTAGGGACATGGTCTTTACCCTGAGTTGTAATAGAGAATAATTTCACAAAGACTATGAGGGAGAAGAGTAGGAGTGCAGCCCAGTGGAACAGTGCTTGCCTGGCATGTATAAGGTTCTGGGTTTGAGCTCATCTTCACATACACACAAAAACTCATAGCAGTATTAATATAAGTAATCAAAATAACTTCTAAAGAATTTTAAAGAGAATTGTTATCTAGAAAGGATGAGTAAAAAAGGACCATGATTACTATTAAATGCTAATTAGCATACTATCTGGCATGTAAGTGCTCAATAAATCATAGCTATCATTAATCTCACCAAATTGTAAACTTTGAGTAGTTTACCCTCAAAATTATTAAGTCATATGCATACCTGGTAAGGACCATAAGAAACATAAAAACAAGCATTAGAAATTAACCTCCGAGTCAGGCATTGTGGCACATGCCTTTAATCCCAGCACTCAGGAGGTAGAGGCAGGTGGATCTCTGTGAGTTCCAAACCAGTCAGAGCTACACAGTGAGACCCTGTCTCAAAAACAAATAAATAAAAAATAAAAAATTTAGAAATTTAAAAAGAAAAGCAAAAGGGGGCTGGAGAGATGGCTCAGTGGTTAAGGACACTGGTTATTCTTGCATAAGACCCGGGTTTGAATCCCAGCACCCACATGGCAGCTAACAACTATCCATAACTCCAGTCCCAGGGGATCCGATGGCCTCTTCTGTCCTCTGTGGGCACTGCATGACACGGGTGCACTTACCTACATGCAGGCAATACATTCATGCACATAAAATTTAAAAAAATAATAGTAAATATTTTTTTTTAAAAAAAAAGGAAAAAAAAGAAAGAAATTGACTGCCACGTAAGAACTTAATATGTTCAAACACATTTATTTGAATCAGTACTAAATAGAGTATTAGATATTTTGGTACTATAATATTCACTTTTTTGTTTACAAGTCATCTATAGTATGAAATTTGATTATTTAAACTTTTATCTGTATCTGTAGTTCTCAGTTTTCTAAGTAACAAGGCACACTTCCACTACAACAGTGCCATAATGAGGAGTGGGGATTGTGCCAGGGTCTAGGTGAGGTGCTTGCCTTGACTTGAAATTCACATAGTGAGAAAGCACCTTTTTGAAATATAAAAACACTTGTGATTCAAACAGAAGAAATACAGATAAATCTATAGAAAAATATGAAATATATGTCACAGACCCATTTCTTTAGTTTAGCTCAAAACGTAATTTAAAATCTCTTACTAGTGTGTTTTCTCCACTGGAACTATTCCACAGCCTCATTCTATCATCTGTTCCAACAGTGAGCAGGTGGAGTCCATCACTTGTAAAACATAAGCCATTAACTTTCCCATTATGAGCAGTGTTTGCTGAAATGAAAAATGTGTTCAGTTTATCTTTTCCTGTGTTAAGCACATACTTAATTTTCAATGATTCAATTAGTTAAAAACATTAAAGAATAACTACATGAATTACTTAAAAATATAAGCTGATTATACTTAAAACTAACCATTCTTTAGATTGTAAGAATATGCTAAGCTATATAGAGGAAAACAGGAAAACCAAAGGCAAAACCTTGCTAAGTATGATTTTCTTCAGTAAGTAAACTGTGCTATCAAAATCAATGAAATGTATAGTTTAATACCAAACACTTCATCCCTTTTATATATTTTCATTTTTAAATTAGAAATCATTGGGCAAACTATTAAAAAACCTATTATTATAGTGTAAACCTGCAATCCCAGCACTTGAGAGGCAAAGACAGGAGGAGCATTGGCCGTAGGCCAGCCTGGTTTAATCCCCAGCACTGCTAGGAAAGAAAGAAAAGAAAGGGAAGGGAAGGGGAAGGGGAAGGGGAAGGGGAAGGGGAAGGGAAAGGGAAAGGGAAAGGGAAAGGGGAAGGAGAAGGGAAGGAAAAAGGAAAGGAAAAAGGAAGGAAAAAGGAAAGGAAAAAGGAAAGGACAGGAAAGGAAAGGAAGAAAGAAAGCAGTCAAAAGCAAACTCAGGGGAAAAAGAAGGGGAAGGGGAAGGTGGAAGGTGGAAGGGAAGGGAAGGGAAGAGAAGGGAAGGGAAGGTGGGAGGTGGAAGGGAAGGGGAAGGGGAAGGGGAAGGGGAAGGGGAAGGGAAGGAAAGAAGCCTGCTTGAGACCGAGCACTCAGCTTTCTGCTTCCCCGCCTCTGCCGCCATGCCTGCCCGTCCTGATGGACTCCGGAACTACAAGCCAAATAAACTCTTCCTTCCGTAAGCTGCCTTCATCATGGTGTTTATCACAGCAAAAGAAGTATTAATACAACAAGTTAAATCAGAAAAGCTTTTATGTTTGAAAATTTGAAGGCAAAAGAAATTTCTATCTTGGGAAAAAGAAAACTATAATTTTGTTTAATCCAGAAAGTGATTCATGAGGGAATGACATTTATTTAATAATAAAAAAAAGCTTTTAATTTGCCTATATATGTATTTATTATTTGATTTCAATATAAAAATATCAATATAAATTGTTGTATTTCTATATTAATGTGGTCTTCATTACCTGATTCAACAGCTTGTGACTTTTTCCCATTATGCTGGTCAAGAGTAAGCAAACATCCTGATGCTCTCCTCACATCCCATAATTTTACTCTATTGTCAGCACTGAGGACAGAAAAATGTTATACTGCTACATGTAGCAATGGCTACACTACTCACCCTTCCAGCATATGAACCTGGAGGCTTCACTATATTAGCATAAGTGTATTCACATAGTTGTATAATATTCAATGCTCAGCAACACCATAATAGTGAAAGGATAACAAAGAGAGGCAACACTTCTCTATGAGGACACAGCACCAAATTCTTTTGCCCAGGGTCTATCACATCACTTATGACATCTTTTCTGTTATTTCTCAAATGTTACCTAGACAACCAACAGTTAACTAATCTCACTATATTTAAGCATCTGTTTGGTATCAACTTGGAGTTTCTTTTTATATAAAATAACTGAGAATAAAAGAGATAACGAGCACAATCCATTTTCATTTGCTTTCTGTGCTCAAGTCAGTCTTCACTAGAAAACCACATTTAATGTCTTCTAGACACTTCATTTTCTTTCAATTGGAAAGATAACAGAAAATTCATATCATCTATCAATGTCTATGCTACTTTAATTTAATTAACTTATTGGGGGCGGGGTCTTTTTAGACAGGGTCTCCCTATAGCCCTAGCTGGCCTGGAACTCACTATATAGACCAGGCTGGTCTTGAACTCACAGAAATCTGCCCGTCTCTGCCTCCAATTAAAAGCATGTGCACCACACTTGGCCTCTGTGCTACTTTTACAGAATGCCCAATAACAGCATGTGTCCTTAATCAGATTCACTCATGCTGCTATGTCTTCATAAAGATCTTAACAATATTCTTTAAAAAGAATTTTTTTGGGGGGCTGGAGAGATGGCTCAGTGGTTAAGAGCACTCACTGTTTCTTGCAGAAGACCCGGGTTTGAATCCCAGCTAACAACTGTCGGTAACTCCAGTTCCAGGGGATCCGACAGCCTCTTCTGTCCTCCTTTTTTAAAAGAATTTTGCTTTTACATCTGTGTTTATTCATGCATGCGTGTGTGTGTGTGTGTGTGTGTGTGTGTGTGTGTGTGTGTGTGTGATCAAGACAAGCAGTTAGAGGACAGCTAGTAATAGTCATTTCTCTCCTTCCACCATGTGGGTCCTGGGATTGACTTCAGGTCATCAGGCTTCATAGAAAGCATCTTTACCACTGAGCCATCTCACCAGCCCCTAGTCTTTTTTCCTTTTAAAAAAATTTAAAATATTTTTAATTGAATTTTTGTGGATTTCATACAATACATCTTAATCATATTTAGAGCTCTCTTAGCCACACCTCCCTCCCCCCCATAGCCCAACCACAGGACTTCATGCATTCTGTCATATATGTCAAGTCTTACTGAGTTAAGCCTGTGTACTCAGATGTCCCTCAGTGTGAGTTCATTCCCTGGAGCCAGTTCAGCCTGCCTAGCTAGCATCACTCCTTTAAAAATCAACTCTCCTTCACCCAGCAGTGATCAGCTGCCAATGTTCCTCACCAAAGTTGTGGCCTCCTGGCCCCTTATCTATGCTGGTTTTTGTCTGATTGAGTTTGCCTGGGTCTTGTGCATGCTGTCACTACTGCTATAAGTTCATATGAGTAAGGTCCCAGGAGTCTGTAAGGCTGTTTCCTTCAGCAAACTACATTGGTACAATAGCGGCACTTTTATCTTGGGGGTAATCAATAACTTAAATCCCACTCAATGGGAGGGAATTCATGTGTGGCACTGTAAACACAGTCAAATACATATGGCTGGACAGGTCATAGATCTTAGAGAAAACCCTCAGACAAAAGTAATTTCTTACTATATGCTAAATATGGACCCTTATATTTACAGACAAGTATGCCAGTCACCACTCATCAAAGAAGCTTCTTTTGCAATCGATGGAGACTATTACAGAGTTCCACAACTGGTCATACACAGAGAATAAGTGTTGGAGAGATACCCAACCCTAAGTGACACATCTACAATGGAACCTCTACGCTTAAGGCTCATGGAACATAGTGGAACAAGGGGCAGAGAGAACACTAATGCCTCTACCTCTCATCAACAAAGCTCCCTCATATTCCTGAGGGCGATGAACACAAAGGGCCACAAATGGCCGAAGTGTAGAGAATAAGAGTCTGCAGAGTATGGTTCCCTGGACAGGACTCCTATGTTGAACCCCACCCACCAAGGGCTCAGGGACCATTGTGGAAGAGGGGGTAATAACATTGTAAGAGCCAGGGGAGGAGGTGAAGACTTTTGACAGCTACAGTCTAGGCCTTGCTGAATCTCAGAAATTGCATATTTTTATCTCATTAGATCTTTGATACCTCCTAAAAATGCTTTTGTAATTTGTTTTTTTCCTTATACTAGTGTTTCAACAGCATTTATACATTGAAGTACTTTCCTTTAAACACTGAAGATCATTGAATGTGTCAATGGATATTTAGATTTCTGTGGCTTAGTAGAGCTGTGGTCTAGTCCTTGAACTGAGCACAACTGATTATTCCCTTTTTAGATTGTCAGCTTCCTGAAATCTTGATCAACTTGTGTTTCTAGTACAATGTTTGGAACAGATAGGTAACCATTAAATATTAGCAAACAATAATTCTGGGTTAGGAGTTGGAGAGATGGCTCAGTGGTTAAGAACACTGGTTGTTCTTGCAGAAAACCCGGGTTCAAATCCCAGCACCCACATGGCAGCTAACAACTGTCCATAACTCCAGTTCCAGTGGATCTGACAGTCTCTTCTGTCCTCTGTGGGCATTACATGACACGGGTGCACTTACCTACAACGCAGGCAATACACACATACACATAAAATAAAAATAAATAAAATTAAAAAAAAATTCTGGGTTAAAGAAACTGAATAAAAATGCTACTTTTAAATTAACAACATACTTCCATGTAGAAAAATAACAATGCAGTTATTTTACTAGTAGTGGTAGCTGATTTATATCACTACATAGATTCTCATGCTTTCTTATTGCTCTAAAAAGTAAATACCTTCAAGACAGACAAACAGGATTAAGATGCAAAGGAAAAGGCAGGGCAGATGGCTCAGTGGGTAAAATGCTTACATGAGGACCCGAGTTTGGAGCCTTAGGACCAATGTAAAAGCCAGGTGCAGCTGTGTATTTCTGAAATCCCAGTGCTGGAGAGGTAAAAACAGGAGGATCCCTACAGCTTTACTGGCCAGCTACCCCTACCTGAATTGGTGAGCTCCAGGCTCAGTGACAGACCTTGTGTCAATAAATACAATAGAAGGTAACAGAGAAAGACACCCCCACGAACACACACACACACACACACACACAAGATGCAAAGGAAAATGTCTTTGGAAATATAAATTAAAATTTGTAACAGTTTTTCATTTCAGTACTAAAATCTAAATGTGCTAAAATATGTATCTACATATAAGTAATATTTTCAAAATGCTTATTACTAATTGCTAATACTAACATCAAAGCTAAATATGTTGCCCTTTACCTTGCTGTTGCCAAGATATAGTCATAACGTGGTGACCAGGAAACTGCCAATATTTCCTGTCTGTGACCTGCAAATACAATTATATGAGAAGTTTTGTAAAATATTTAAAAAAACAAAAGAAGCTAATAATTTTGCCTGACTCAGAAAACAGTAAGATTAACAGTGAACAAATATGTTTTTTACTATTTTATTATATATTTATATTTATATTTTCTATTTGTAATATGTATATTTAAACACTCATATGAAGTCTGTGGGGCATTTAAAAAACATTTTTTATTGAATTTTTGTGGTTCTCATACAATATAACTTGATGGTATTTGGATTCCTTCCCCTTATTGCCCCTATCCAATTGAATGTATTCTATATATAAAATAAGGTCTATAGAGTCTAATTTGTGTTCCCAAATGCCCTTCAGTATGGATCCATTCACTGGAGTCTGGTTAACCTACTAAGAGTGCCATCCTTCAATGAGACCATTTCTCCCCCTCTCAACAGTCATCAGTTGCCAAAAGTTCCTTAGATTGAGTTGGGGTTTCTTATCCACATCCCCATGTCTATGTTGAGATTTTATCTGGTTTGAGCTTGCATGGGACTTGTGCATGTTGTCACCATTGCTGTGAGTTCATATGAGTAACTAATGAGGTAGCTGGAAAACTGTTTCCTTGTGGTCATCCACCACCTCAGGCTCTTACAATCTTACTGCCTATGAGGGCATTTTAACCCACGGACTTTTAACGTAAAAGAATTGGGTTTCGCTTTAGGAAAAAGTCAGAGTAAGTGAGTCTTTTTCAAATAATTCTAATTGTTAGTCTGTATCAGTCAATCCACATGACTGAAGCAGATGGACTAGCTCTACAATAGAAACCCGTGGTAATAAAACATAACATTTTAAAGGAATAAAAATATCTTCCAATTCCTTATAGTTATTACAGAAAAAAAAAAAAACTTCATTGAAAAAGGTATTTAAGTTTTGTTTCTGGGAAGCAGATGATAAATTCATAGGACAGTTTTACCTCACTCAACTATTCAAATCAGACATTTTCATCTGCCTAGCTTTTTAATCAATAGAAATTATTCATAATAATATTAAAAATGCTATCTATCTCATTAAGTTTTCCTGGTATATTTATTATGTTTCTCAGAGATTAATAAAAATGTATATTTTGGATTATACTCCAACATTTTATTATATAGAATAAGATAATCTAATTCCAATAAAAATTAGTAAAATTAAATAAATTAATATACTTTCCCCAAATTATTATTTCAACACTTTCTAAAATGGACTGAGGAAAAAACACACTTAAATATTAAGAGCAGTGCTTCCTTATCAGTCAAAATATTAAGCAATGTTGATGCGACACATCTAATGACATAAGTCTCATTACTAGTTCATTTTTTTTAACGTGGAAAGAACTGAAGGTTTGGTTAGACCTTCTATTTCCACATCCACCAAACTTTGCTTATAACCACTGTCCAGGAAAATGTTTCACTAGTTTGGTTTTTCAGAATAATGCACAGAAGAACCTTTATTCTCTGTTGACTTAACAACTAGCACAAAATAAGTCATAGCATTTACAAAGATCGCATTGCTAGCAACAGTTCTTTTTTACTGAATAGTTTATACAAAGTAGTAGTTGTTTCAAATTTAAAAAAAGAAAATACCTTGGAGAATGTGAGAACAGGAGCCAGACTTTAAGTCACAAAGTTGTACTTTGGGTCCTCTAGTACCAACTGTTAAAAAAAAAAAAAAGTTTAACATAATTTTTATTATAAATTATCAAAAACCTGAGCAAATTACATTTAGGAATCACAACATTTTCACTATATTCATCTATAAATATAAAAATGCATGCCATAATACATTTTAATCATGTTTAATGTTTTTAACTAGAAAAATATTTATACTTCATTAGTAGCAGAACTTTATTATTATATATCTTATTTTAAAATACTTATAGATTTGCAAAAGTTGTAAAGCTAATTCAGAGAAATCAGAAAGATTCATCTAATTTTCACCTCACTTAGGTAACTACAGCAAAATATCAAAACCAGGAAATTTATATTAGCACTTTAAATGTATGTGTGTGTGTGTGTGTGTGTGTGTGTGTGTAGTTCTTTAGAGTTTTATCACATCAAATCATTTTATTCCAATAGCTTAGTTTTTCTAAGTAATATTATTCTTCCAATTGCTAGTGATAAAGTCACAGAAACTCCAGCATAGACAAAATGGGCCTCTAGATCAGCTCCTGTCTTGCTCTGACAGATGAAGCAGCTGAATGATGTGCAGACATGAGGAGATTCATGTAGTACCACAGAGACACTGGAATGACAGGGACCAGATACTGATACTAGCAAAACCTTTTCTTACATATATATAAAAAACTTTAAGATTTATATAAATGCCTGTTCACCTTCAATCACAATCTTGAGGAGAAAGAGGTTATCCTTTTATTGTGCTGAAGCGGAAAAGTTGTCAAATTAAAAAAATATTTTTAATGAATCTAAAAAAATATTGTATTGTTTTTATTTTATGTGTATGAACATAATGCCTGCATGCAGGTAGGTACACCTGTGTTGTGCAATACCCGAGGAGGTCAAAAGAGGGCATCGGAACCCCTGGAACTGGAGTTTCAGATGGTTGTTAACTGCCATGTGGGTGCTGGAAATTGAACCCGGGGTCCTTTGCAAGAGCAGCCAGTGCATTGAACTGCTAAGCCATCTCTCTAGTCCCAGTCCCTACACTCCCAAATATTTCTGTGTGTATATATATATATCTGTGCACATGTGCATGTTCCATGGGGTATGTGCCATGGTCAGAGGACAACTTACTTGTGTCAGCTCTATCCTATCATGTGGGTTCTAGAGATCGATTTCTAGTCATCAGGCTTGGCAGCAAGCACCCTTACTACTGAGCCATCTCACTGGCCCAAGTTACCAAATTTTGTTCATATAAAATATCTGAAACTTTAGTAATTAAAAGAACTCCATAGGACATATGACACTGAAGGGAGAAAAAAAAGAAAAAGAAAAAAGAAAAAAGAAAAAATTTGGAAGGGAGAGAAAGAGAATAGATGTTCTTTTAATCTTTGAATCCTTGCCATTAGTACATGCTGGATTTACACAATATATGACAAACTGAATATACATAGTTTGTATATAGTTTTTAAAATAAAAGAATTGTGATATTTACTGGGGTTAAGTTTTTTTCTACCAAATCTAATTAGCTATAAAATGGCAGAAAGCAAAACATGTTAAAAAACAAAGACTGTGGGTACAAACCTGCTATCAAACAATGCTTGGTGGCTACTGGAGACATATGATGACTATAAACTGTTTCCTCGAAATTAAATACATCTGCAATCTGATGATCAAAAGACAGTTTAAAAGTGTAAAATCCAAGCAACAAATTCTCTTTTCCACATTTTTAACAGCTTTGAAATCAAGTTAGCAATTTATTGACTAAAATATGACAAATCCTAGGGAGTAAGAAAAGCGACCATCTGGCTCACCATTTCCTTCCACTCCTCTCTAGAAGCCTGGCATCTCCACCGGGGATCTAGCCAGCAATCTGCCTCTCATTTCCCTGTAGCCTCATCTCCCAAACCAGGACACCAGAATCATACTTCTTTGAAATTATAAACTTTCAGTTATCTAAAACCCAGCCAGGAACTAACCTTTTGGCTTTCCCCACCAACTACTCTTGAGACATTTGAATGACCCCCCAAATCCCCATCAGTTCCCCCTGTCCACTTCCTTTCCTCTCCAGCTTGGATTCCAAGGTCTAACACATCCAAAGCTGTCCTCTTCAATTGGCTATCCTCCTATTATCAAGACCTCAACTCTGAATGTCATCAAATACCTCCCTTTCTTACATCTGTATCACATGGATGTACGAAAGAACTTGTAAGCTTTTTCTGCAATCAGTGAGTAAAAATACAAGGTACATCTCTGCTATGATAGTCTCAATGCAGCCATAGGCAACCAAGTACACTTCTCTTCCTATAACACTTTATTTACAAGAAGATGCCATGAAATCAGACTTGCCCATATCTTAGACTTGGCCAGTCCCTGCTTTACCCAGGTGGAAAACCTACCATGAGCAGACTGGTGTGAATGCAGAGGATCACTGACTGCACCTGGGCTTTAGTAATGACTGCCAGTCCTGCTAGCCACTATTTCACTCCACTAGTTCTCCACAGTACTGCTTAGCCATTTCCAGTGCTTTCCACAACATCCCTACTCAATCACAACAGGTGATCAGATCTTTTAGTTCAAAGAGAAAATAAAAGCCACTCAATCAGAACTTCCTAATCTCTTACTAAGAAAACCTATGAAACCAGTTACTTCTGCTTAAGCTTCCCTTCTTCATTCCCATCATGGAAAAACGACTCTTCTCCATTTCAAAGGTTAAACTTCCTGCTTGGGTTCAGATCTCCTCAACACTGTGGCAAACTCAACCTACAGATTATCTACTGGTTATCTTTAACTTCTGCCCTTACTTGTTCATTCCCAACAGCAATAAAGCTCAAGTCCCTTTCATTGTAATATCTATCCTCCCAAGACAAGGTAAACAAAGCTGTTACTCTACCTATCCCTCACCCTTCTTTCCTCCTCTTCATATCAAATTTGGCGATCTTTTTTTTCCAGTTAATTATTTGTTTAATAACCACATTCTTAGAAGAAGCATTTCATTATAACAGCATGACATATTCAATAACAATTTTCTGAGCTAAGATGCATCTTTTTCAAAATTGGCTGTAAACTTTTAGGTTTACAGTTGAATTATTACAGTTATACAATATTGTATTCTGTATAAACCCTATAAGACATACAA